TTTCATCTTCGGTTCCGACATTTAGATTATAGGTTTGTATCTTTTCTTCCCAATTGCATCTACATCTTTGATGGAAACCTTTGCATATTTGTTTGCACCATATGCATCGGAAATGGTTATGATGGTCTTCTTCTCCGCATTCACATGGGTAGTGTCTTCCTCGAAATATGTGCCACTCCTCCTTCATAGTCGTAAGTGGTCTTTCAACTTTATCCATTGTGAAGTTGTATGCTTCTATGATTCCTGGGTATGTGTCATCATTATAATTGGTGTCTTCTTCTTTAGTTTCCTCTTCGGTTTCTTCTTCATATCTTATCACCATTTGGGACGTTTTTCTGGAGTGTTGTTCCAACATGAATACTTCTAATTCTCCGTCTGAATCTGAGCTTTCATGTTCCGACGAATTGGATTCATTATCATCTGATGATAGTTCTTCTCCATACTTATGTGCCACTTCTATAGTTGCTTTTTGATCATCCCAATAGAATGTTAATTTCAAATCGCTCCAATTTACTACAGCATTTAATTTGGATAACCAATCATTTCCTAGGATAGCATTATAAGTGTTTGCTTCTGTTACGATTGCTGATAATGGAATTGTTATTCCTCCAATGGTTAGTGGTAAGTCATCTACTTCTCCCAAAGGTGAAGTTTTTTGTCCATTTACATTGATGGTAATTTTTACTCCTAGTTTATCTAACAATCCTTTTGAAACTATACTTCCTGCTGCTCCGCTATCTATAATGATAGGAAAGCTTCTTCCATTGATACTTGCTTTGCAGTACATTACGGTTGATCTTATTTCGGCATTTAATTGCTCGGACTGTGGTGTTGTTTTCTTAACTCTGGTTGTTTGTAGGGTTCGTAAACTCCCAGACAATTCCAATCTCAATTTTGGTACTGCTTGGAATAATTGCCCGAAGGTAATATCAGCTTTCTGCTTCTTGATGTCGGTTACTACTGAGTATGGTTGTATCAAATTCGAAATTGGATGTTGTACTGTATTTCTCTTTTTCTGGGTGCTTTCTTCATAGTCTTTTTCTTTGTTTCTTTTGATCCTTCATTATTTTTAGGTTCTTTTTTTTGTCTTGAATCACTTCCATCTGATTGTATGTCCATTGCTACACCTGTTCCTTCTTCAGTAGTCTTCTGTTTCTTTGTTTCTACAGGTAACATTAACTTTACTGTATTACCTACAACCATGTCTGCCAACATTGATTGTTGCTGAATATTATTATTGGTATCAATTCGCCAAAAAAAAAACCAATAGGATAAATAATTAATGTGTATGTGTCGATCAAATCACAAACTTTTTTTAAAAAAATGTCATCAGGAAATAATAGAAGAAGAAAAGAATTCATTGTTGATGTTTCTGGGTAAGTGTTTTAAGGATGGTGGTGGTTATCACCCGCCACTCATTTAAAACATATCTTTTTAAAAAAAAACCACGTAAAGTTTTGGCCGATGGGAGATGCAAGGGTTGAACCGATTAATTGAGCTACACCAACACCAAAGTCTGATATTGTTGTAGCAAGTGCAAGTCAAAATGTAATCCTTTTAGAAAGAACTATTGTGCTGGGTGGCTTCGTCATTAACGAATGATGTAATAGTAAATAAATAAATATATAGTTTGATCATATCCATAAATAAAATTCATACAATAAAAACAATAATAAGGGTTTAGATGACTGGTTATAATAATGATATCACGTACATCACTGTTGACAATAAAATGACGGCAGAAAGATAATAAACCTTATATATTTTGTAAAAATAAAGTACATTCCGGCCAGACTAAATTCAATACTGTCGAATTTGCGCATTCAAGTAATTAGTTAATCTCCACTCATAATGTTTATTCTTGACTAGCTGATAACAATTAAGTTAATTAATTCTGTAATTTGCGATGTTTGAATTGCTCCTCATCAACCATTTGGATAAGAGAAACAAAAAAAAGCCCGGAAGGATTATCCCTTCATCAGTTCAACCTTTTTGTGTCTCCTTAAGGCTTCGAACGAATCAATGAAATTCGCATTGACTAATTTTTGATTTGTTTCATTCGAATCGTGCATTAATTTGATTTGACTTTGTTCGAATCTAATTCGAATATATACCATATGAAATAATCTGAATTCCAAAGAGTTAGTCGCCTTTGGAAATAAATGGTTCCGAAAGTCAATAAAGATATTTACCTGGTATAATAATACATTTGGCACAACTGTAAAATGACTCCACACTTCACTTCTTGTTCAAGTGTTACAAGACCTGTCATACTTTAGACACTCTATTTTATCTACAAAACGCGATTAAAATGGAAGTTGTTTATTTTAATTTACTTTGGCGAATATTAATTTTATTTATTTCTCAGTTTCTTGGTAAAGGAAGAGGAACAAAATCTTGTTTATTATTTAACTTGTATAACGAATTTTAACTTAATTTTCTTTCCAGTTTGATAATAAATAATATCAAAGAAAATTTCATTACTTATTGTATTTCAACGAATTTTATATGTAAAGCAAAAAACATTTTATAACGCGAATTTAATTATAATTCGCTGAGAATGGTAATAATAATGTTATGAATAAATATAGTTAATGTCTCAAATTTATTATTCGTAAAATTACTAATAGTGTTGGCATTATTAGTTTAGAAATGGTTTAGGAAATAATTTTGAGTGCTTAAGTCACAAAATAATGATTTTTTTTTTTGTTATACAATCAAACTTCATTCAACGAATCTTATTTCAATGAATTATAAATAAATTCGCGTTATAACAAACTTTTAAAATTTTTGCTTCACATATAAAATTCGTTGAGACGTGACAAGTGATTTTCTTGTGTATTTTTAAGGGTATATGCAGTTTGAATACAGTACACTTCGTGCAGTGAGTATATTACGAACATAAGTAGAAGAATTTGAGTATAGTAAGTACAATTATAGGTCCTACACACCCAACCCCCAAAAAAGCATATAAGCACGATTCTTCTCTTGATCTGTGTTCAGAAAATTTGATAATTTCATCTTCAGGTACACCATCATTATTTCGTTTAAATACTCCCATTTGATTATTTTTTTTCAGTATATAACGATAAATTTAACCCTCCGTCTAAACATCTAGAAAAACTTTGCATTTCAAGCTTATATGCACCACCTTCTCTTAAACCACATAATAAACAAATTAGAAAGAAATTCTACATATAAGGCTTTCGTTATTATTGCTTTGCATTTGAGGATGATCTAAAATTTGTTGAATTACTTTTTTAGTTAGTGGTGATGCTTGATCCGTTTTGCCACATCAGTTGACTCTATCTACGCCCATCCCCTCCTCTTAGTAGAAGCGTCAAATTCTCGATACCATTATTCCCAGACCAGAAGTACAGGAAGGATATAAAGTCAGAGCCAAGTTCGTCAAACCAATCGCTGTTATACTTACTTGGGAGTGAATGCTGGATGGGCGATCAAAAGTTTCGTTTTTCAGCAAATTGTTTGGATTCAATTATTTTGCTATTCTCGTGTGTTATCTTTCATGAGAGTGAGTAAATATACTTATTTTTTTTTACTGATTTAATTAATTAAACCATATCTTGCCATAATTAAGCTCCCGTTACGATATACAGTCGAATCTCGCTACAGTGAGTGAAAAATTGCATATGGTTTACTTTGGCCGTGGTGAAATAATAATGTTCATGTCATAAGAAAAGATTTCACTATTACTATATAATGGAAAATCGTAACAAATATACGGATTTTTTTCAATAAATAAACATAAATAAGAAATTATTTCTTTGAGGATTATTTTTGAAAATTTGATCTTCCTGAATTTTTTCTTAATAAACTACTAATATTTTAACGAGGCTATGTTATCAAGCATAGTGGAAGTTTGTTGTTACACGAAACGTTATACAGAACTCATTGCTTCTGAAACTTCGCCAGTATATAGTTGTTACCTCTCTAAATTGGAGATCAAGTTCAGATCCAATTCAAATCCAGTTTATCACTTACTTTTTATTGCCAGAATGTTTGCTGTGTATTGTAAAGCTACGTTGCACAATATAAAAAATTAGTGTAACATTTCAAATTTCCACTATGCTATGTTTATCACCATTACTATTTGCTAATAAAGTATTACAAATATTAAAGCGGCTTGGATTAAAAAAATTTTTTAGAAATTAGGACTTGTACTACCGTTGAAAATTTACCAAGCCCAATTGCACAATTGCGAAGCCTTAAAGAAAAATAATTTTTTATTATGACATAAAAGGAAATTAAATAAATAAATGCCATCTCGAGAATACAATCACACATTCTTGATCTCCAAATAAGTAATTAGGGCTTTTGTTTTATTTTGGATACAACCGTAGATCGATGAGGTACGCGGAGAGGCTATGTAAGCATATAAAGATTTTTTTCCTTGCGGAAAAAAAAGCAAAGCCTTCGATTGGATAAATGGTTAAATTGATTATATATAATTATTGACTATAATAATAATAATCATAGAGATGTCGAGATTAAGGAGAAGGCTTAAAGACAGGATGGGGGATACGAAATCATTATAAAAAAAAAACCCGTGGCTATGAAAACTACCGGATCAAGGAGAAGGCTTAAAGACAGTGATGTAAAATCTATTAAAAAGACGTGGCTATGAAATATTTTTCTTGTATATTTTATAATAACAAAATTTATTATTATAATTATCACAATCGAATCAATTAACAATTAATATAGGAAATAAATGGCTATGTACAAATTTATTCTTGGGCTTTGCTAAAACTCGATTATTCAATGTTAGTAAATGGTGGCTTTTTTTTCCTTTATTAAACAAATATACTAAGAGATAATAATAATTCGTTAGTAATACTTGGGAATAAAAACATCTATATAAACACGCAAATTCTCGTCAACTTCCAATTTCTTTCTTCACTTCAAAAAAGTAAATAATAATAAATAATAAAAAAAAATAAAAATAAAATACAATAAAAAAAAAAATAATTCATTTAAAAATGAAGTTGAATCTTAGTATCTTATTTTTAATTGCCATGTTCATCGCCTTGGTCTTTGCTGAAGGACCAGAGGAAGATAGTGAGGACATCGAAGGTAAAAAAAGTTATATTATTCTCTAATCCAATTAAATAAAAACCACAATTTTTTTAATAATTATTATTTTTACAAAATAAAAAGTCGAAAAACGGGACGCTAACCCTGATCCATACTACAAGAAATACTACAAGAAATACTACAAACATAAATACTACAAACGTGGTGTCGACGAAGAAGATGATGAAGAAGAAGATCTCGCAAAACGTGACGCCAACCCTGATGCATACTACAAGAAATACTACAAGAAATACTACAAACATAAATACTACAAACGTGATCTCGATGACGAAGAGGAAGATGAAGAAGAACAAAATGATCTCGCAAAACGTGACGCCAACCCTGATGCATACTACAAGAAACACTACAATAAATACTACAAACATAAATACTACAAACGTGATGCTGATGCTGATGCATACTACAAGCATAAATACAATAAATACTACAAGCATAAATACTACAAACGTGATGCTGATGCTGATGCATACTACAAGCATAAATACTACAATAAATACTACAAGCACAAATACTACTAGAGACAAATTGTTACTCACTCCACAAGTATTAATTTTATTATTATTATTAAATTATTATTATAAAATTTTTTTTATTTAAATATCAACGTCTTCAACCTACTTCCTTTTTATTTCTTTTTGTATAAAATTATATTTTTCTTTCTTTCTTTCTATTGTATATAATATATATATATATTTTTTATTTTTGTATTTTATATATTATATTTTTAAATTCCTCATGTCCTATCCTTTTTTTTTCTTTATCTTTCTTTCTTTCTTTCTTTGTAAATGTTCTTTAATTATTTATTCTTTTTAAAAAAAATGTACGAATACATAATTAATTATATATATATATATATATTAAGTCGGTTGAAAAGTTTTATTTAATAAAAAAAACTTAAATAATATTTATACCATCAAATCTCATGAGACTATTTTATAAGAATTGTTTATTTATTTTAAACTTCATAATAAGACCAATATTTACATATTTAATAATTTATATATATATTTAACAAGTATTTTTAAATATAAAACTTTTTTAATTTTTAAATAATCTATCGCAATATTATATAATTTGCCTTGAATATATTATTTATTTTGTTTTACTCGACTCATTCATTTTTTATATTGACACTACCACGGAGACAAAGAAACAAGGTGGATGGTTGATTCTTTTATAACCAGGAAGAATACAATTGTTTATCCGCAAAAAAAATTTAATCTTTGCTCATTTCCTTGTTTCAGACCTTTTGTTTTGCAGCGTCAATGGTATCAAATAATTCGATTTCAAATGTGATTGTTTTACCGGCAAGTGTTTAAATAACGAATATTTGCATGTCACCACGAAAACGAAACACAAAGTGGAAGGGTTGGTTCTTTTTGAATGTTGTAATCAGAAAGAGCACGATCGTCTGTCTTTCGATTGTTTTCCTGTAAATATTAAACATTGTTGATCTGGTAGGGTGCCATCTTCCTTGCCTTGAATTTTTGATTTACGGTATTGATGGTATCAGAGGATTCGCACTAAATAAAGTGTAGATTCTTTTTGCTTTACCGTATTAGAATTGACCGTGTCTGATGATTCGACTTTGAGTGTGATAATTTACCAGTGCATATCCCATAATTTTGTTCCTTAATTAAAAAAAAAAATGAAATACCAAAAATACCAACGAAATTAGAAGAGAATGTCTTGGGGTAAGTTTTGTTTAGAAAAATGTTATTTTGGTATATACTAATGAAAAAAGTAGCAGGTGGTAGTAGCAATGTAAAATTAGCGAATAGACAAGTAAAATGCAAGAAAATAAATTAAGAGTTTCTTTATTAGCAGGAGCGCCCACTCATTCTTGGGGTTAAAGTTCTCTATTGGAAAAGGGCAATAATAAAGATATTTATGATTTTTTTTTAAAAAAAAATTTTAAAATCAGATTGGAGAACACTTTTAGTTTTTCGTGGAAAAACGGCACTTGCTTTATGCATAAAAATAAGTTTATAATTTATCAGTAACTTTTTTAAAAAAATAATAAACAAGCCCTTTCATTCATTCATTTATTTATTTATACAATCCAACGCCTTGAAGTGATTTTAAATAATTTTTATGAAAACTATTATCATCAGCTGGACCTATAAGTACCAATATATATATATATATACACACACAAAGTAAATATGAATTAATGATTTTTTTTGTGAAAATGAATGAAATAACTTACGATTAATTGCTACCCGTATTGGTTCCTTGTAATATTAATATTAGATTATAAATTTGTTGTTAAATTATTTGATTATATATTTTTTTTAATCATTGTAATATTAATGAAAATATTACCTCTTTAAATAAACCTATAAACATATTATTAATATTAAATAAACATTGGTAAATATTATTTTAATAATAATCATAATGAATGAAAATAATAATAAAATACTTACGCATAGCCTTCATGTAATTATTGGTGTCAGGTGTGAAACGATGATAAATTCCTGGAGGCTTCATATAAAAATGAATGAATTATCAATAATTTATTAATCATATATATATTATTAGATAATTTATTGATAATTTATTAATTACAAAAACAATCAAATCTCCTTTAGTGAGTGCAATACGAATCCATTTGTCTTGCAAATCTAAATCAAATTCAAGTAAACGCAAATATTCGTAATTATGTAAAAAAAGATACTTCCACATTTCAAAGATACATACATACCTCGAACATCAATATATCCAGAACCATCAAGAATATAACGAATTTCTTCACCTTCATGAAAATGTCTAATTTAACAAAAACATAATAATCATAATTAGTATTTATTTATAAAATAATACAAAGTAAAGAAAATTATTAACTATTTCATTTACTTACTCTTCATAAAAAATTTTCAATTTACTATCATACAAATCACCCATTGCTTCTTTCGAGAATGTAATCTATTTATACATACTTATATATAAATATATAATAATAATAAAATTGTTCTCCCCAAAAAAATTCAAATTATTACTTCATCATGACTTTTATAACGTCTTTCCTCAGATATTTTTTTAATTTTATTAAGAAAATCCTCTTCTTCTATATGTGAGTGTGAAATACCAATATGTGCAAGTTCTTCAGGGGTAACAATGGTAAGTGGATTTTTTTCATGAGGTTTTTTTGGGTCTGAATCATCGTTGTCATCATGATAATAAGCATGCATTTTTATCGAAAATTTTATTAGTATTAGTATTAGTAACAGTCATTCAGTGCGTAACATCAAATTTTAATTCGTGGTCTGCCGATCAATGATTAATAAAAATACCCGGGGGATCGTCATTATTATTATATATCTTAAATAGTTAAGATTCAAAATTTATGATTTAATTTAATTATTGATTTTAAAACCAATATAGCACTATTGTCTGATGATCATTATGGTCAGATGATTTAAGGGTTAGGTTACACAGTACATCATTAGTCCTTATTAGCATAGTGGACATTTGATTTCATTGGCTAAATTATGTGACGATCTCCCCTCCAGATATCACGCAAAAATTAGCATAGTGGAAGTTTGTTGTTACACGAAACGTTATACAGAACTCATTGCTTCTGAAACTTCTCCGGTATATAGTTGTTACCTCTCTAAATTGGAGATCCAATTCAAATACAGTTTATCACTTACTTTTTATTGCCAGAATGTTTGCTGTGTATTGTAAAGCTACGTTGCACAATATAAAAAATTAGTGTAACATTTCAAATTTCCACTATGCTATGTTTATCACCATTACTATTTGCTAATAAAGTATTACAAATATTAAAGCGGCTTGGATTAAAAAAATTTTTTAGAAATTAGGACTTGTACTACCGTTGAAAATTTACCAAGCCCAATTGCACAATTGCGAAGCCTTAAAGAAAAATAATTTTTTATTATGACATAAAAGGAAATTAAATAAATAAATGCCATCTCGAGAATACAATCACACATTCTTGATCTCCAAATAAGTAATTAGGGCTTTTGTTTTATTTTGGATACAACCGTAGATCGATGAGGTACGCGGAGAGGCTATGTAAGCATATAAAGATTTTTTTCCTTGCGGAAAAAAAAGCAAAGCCTTCGATTGGATAAATGGTTAAATTGATTATATATAATTATTGACTATAATAATAATAATCATAGAGATGTCGAGATTAAGGAGAAGGCTTAAAGACAGGATGGGGGATACGAAATCATTATAAAAAAAAAACCCGTGGCTATGAAAACTACCGGATCAAGGAGAAGGCTTAAAGACAGTGATGTAAAATCTATTAAAAAGACGTGGCTATGAAATATTTTTCTTGTATATTTTATAATAACAAAATTTATTATTATAATTATCACAATCGAATCAATTAACAATTAATATAGGAAATAAATGGCTATGTACAAATTTATTCTTGGGCTTTGCTAAAACTCGATTATTCAATGTTAGTAAATGGTGGCTTTTTTTTCCTTTATTAAACAAATATACTAAGAGATAATAATAATTCGTTAGTAATACTTGGGAATAAAAACATCTATATAAACACGCAAATTCTCGTCAACTTCCAATTTCTTTCTTCACTTCAAAAAAGTAAATAATAATAAATAATAAAAAAAAATAAAAATAAAATACAATAAAAAAAAAAATAATTCATTTAAAAATGAAGTTGAATCTTAGTATCTTATTTTTAATTGCCATGTTCATCGCCTTGGTCTTTGCTGAAGGACCAGAGGAAGATAGTGAGGACATCGAAGGTAAAAAAAGTTATATTATTCTCTAATCCAATTAAATAAAAACCACAATTTTTTTAATAATTATTATTTTTACAAAATAAAAAGTCGAAAAACGGGACGCTAACCCTGATCCATACTACAAGAAATACTACAAGAAATACTACAAACATAAATACTACAAACGTGGTGTCGACGAAGAAGATGATGAAGAAGAAGATCTCGCAAAACGTGACGCCAACCCTGATGCATACTACAAGAAACACTACAATAAATACTACAAACATAAATACTACAAACGTGATGCTGATGCTGATGCATACTACAAGCATAAATACAATAAATACTACAAGCATAAATACTACAAACGTGATGCTGATGCTGATGCATACTACAAGCATAAATACTACAATAAATACTACAAGCACAAATACTACTAGAGACAAATTGTTACTCACTCCACAAGTATTAATTTTATTATTATTATTAAATTATTATTATAAAATTTTTTTTATTTAAATATCAACGTCTTCAACCTACTTCCTTTTTATTTCTTTTTGTATAAAATTATATTTTTCTTTCTTTCTTTCTATTGTATATAATATATATATATATTTTTTATTTTTGTATTTTATATATTATATTTTTAAATTCCTCATGTCCTATCCTTTTTTTTTCTTTATCTTTCTTTCTTTCTTTCTTTGTAAATGTTCTTTAATTATTTATTCTTTTTAAAAAAAATGTACGAATACATAATTAATTATATATATATATATATATTAAGTCGGTTGAAAAGTTTTATTTAATAAAAAAAACTTAAATAATATTTATACCATCAAATCTCATGAGACTATTTTATAAGAATTGTTTATTTATTTTAAACTTCATAATAAGACCAATATTTACATATTTAATAATTTATATATATATTTAACAAGTATTTTTAAATATAAAACTTTTTTAATTTTTAAATAATCTATCGCAATATTATATAATTTGCCTTGAATATATTATTTATTTTGTTTTACTCGACTCATTCATTTTTTATATTGACACTACCACGGAGACAAAGAAACAAGGTGGATGGTTGATTCTTTTATAACCAGGAAGAATACAATTGTTTATCCGCAAAAAAAATTTAATCTTTGCTCATTTCCTTGTTTCAGACCTTTTGTTTTGCAGCGTCAATGGTATCAAATAATTCGATTTCAAATGTGATTGTTTTACCGGCAAGTGTTTAAATAACGAATATTTGCATGTCACCACGAAAACGAAACACAAAGTGGAAGGGTTGGTTCTTTTTGAATGTTGTAATCAGAAAGAGCACGATCGTCTGTCTTTCGATTGTTTTCCTGTAAATATTAAACATTGTTGATCTGGTAGGGTGCCATCTTCCTTGCCTTGAATTTTTGATTTACGGTATTGATGGTATCAGAGGATTCGCACTAAATAAAGTGTAGATTCTTTTTGCTTTACCGTATTAGAATTGACCGTGTCTGATGATTCGACTTTGAGTGTGATAATTTACCAGTGCATATCCCATAATTTTGTTCCTTAATTAAAAAAAAAAATGAAATACCAAAAATACCAACGAAATTAGAAGAGAATGTCTTGGGGTAAGTTTTGTTTAGAAAAATGTTATTTTGGTATATACTAATGAAAAAAGTAGCAGGTGGTAGTAGCAATGTAAAATTAGCGAATAGACAAGTAAAATGCAAGAAAATAAATTAAGAGTTTCTTTATTAGCAGGAGCGCCCACTCATTCTTGGGGTTAAAGTTCTCTATTGGAAAAGGGCAATAATAAAGATATTTATGATTTTTTTTTAAAAAAAAATTTTAAAATCAGATTGGAGAACACTTTTAGTTTTTCGTGGAAAAACGGCACTTGCTAGCCAAAAGTCACATCAAACGAACATATTATGAAGTCAGGCTATCAGATTTGCCACTATGACAAGTTTTAAAGATCTTAAATTACTATATATAATTGTAATATTATTTATTGTATTATTGTTGTTGGGATAAATTCTGAATAAAAAAACCAAGTTTTTTTACTGACATGTTTCTTTCTCTCAACACGATAAAACTTTAATTAATATGTTTTTTATCGTTCTGCGAAAAAAGAATTTTACTATCAGCGAACGGTTTAAAACCATGATCATTGAATATTCAAAAAAGAAATTAGAATAATCTCTAATTTGAGATCATGATTTCGATAATTCATTCGCTGCACTACCAAATAGTAACTTCAATGAATTGTAGAAAAGTAACGAGTAGAACGAATGGACAAATAAATAAATTTTTTATTTTTATTTTTTAACATCAAGTTCAACTAATTTCCAACCATTCCTAGCCTTTTTCAATCTTAACCATCTACCTAATTTATGTTCTTGTCCAACACCAGCTAAAATATAAGTTTTGCCTTTAGTTGTAGTAATCATTTTTGTCATCTCATCCTCATATTCACCATTTTTTTCCTTGACATCATTATTATCATTTATATCTTCAATGTCCATAACATCTTCACCATCAACTCCATTTTTATCATCACCATCTATCTTATTAGCTAATAATAAATTTTTTGATTTTTTTATAGTTGGTGTAATAAAATGTAAACAATTAATAAATCCCAGTATTGGTATCTTAGCAAGTGGAACAAATGAGCGAATATTATTAACCAACTTCCAAAATCTAATATATCCATCCCATGAGCCAGATGCAAATAAATCAGAATGCCTAATAGTTGTTAACGCTGTGATCCAATAAACATCACTAGAAACTGCACCATTACTACTACTACTACTACTACTACCGTTGTTATCGTTATTATTATTGTTTTCTGTCATATTTATTGGCACGCCATGTGCCAAGTAGTAAACAAATATTGGTTTCTTTTTATTTATATTCCATAATGAAATGGCTCTTAGAAAGAATTAGTGTTATATGAATAAAATTAATAATACACTGACCAGACTAAATAAATAAATAAGCATGATTGATTGATTAATTAATTGAGATACATACCCACTGTCACCACCACTAAGAAAATTATCTTCATCTATCATCGCCACCACATCAATACTTCCTTCTTTATACACTCCTCCTCCAACTCCATTTCCATTATTACCATTATTATTATTATTTGTAGCAGCATCTCCTGTATTTTTTGACCCTCCTCCTCCATCTTCTTTTTGGTTTTGCGTAATAGATGTAGGTGTAGTAGGAGTGAAATTTGCTCCTTTTGTATCACCTCTGAAAACCAATTGTGTTTGCTCAACAATCTTCCAAAGTCTACATGTACGATCACGAGCACCAGCAGTGATGCATCGTTCTTTTGAAATGGTATCTATTGACATTATTTGATCTTGATGTCCAAACCTATCGATTATATATTGTAAAAATTACAAAAAAATTTTTTTTAAAGAGAGTAGGAAAGGAAAAAATTGTAAATATAGAATAATAGATAGATATCAATCAATAGATATGGAGATAAAAGGAAAATAGTTACAATGTTTCTATGAAGCCCAATTGATCAATATCCCATAATTTGATAGTACGATCGAAGGAAGCGCTGTATAGTTGATTGTGACCTTTACGAAATACAAGCCCCTTAACAAAAAATAAAAAATATTGTGTTTATATCTATATGTGTATATGTATATATAATGTGTTTGTTTATACTTACAGAAACAGAATCTTTATGTTGTAATAAACATTTTATAAATTTATTTTCCTTAACTGACCAAATATTAATCTTTTTGTCTGCACCACCACTAGCCTTACCAGATAACAACAACAAAACAACAAAATTGATTATAATTATAATTACATTAATAAAATAAACAAATAAAATTAACATTTATAAAAGAGCACAAACCAAATAATTTTCATCAGAACTTATTGCTAATGACAAAATATGTTTAGTATGACCATCAAAATTTTTAATTTCTTTTCTACCACCAGGAAATACGTGCAATTTCTTCCCAGTTGCTAAATCCCCTATAAATTACATATGCACGCAATAAATAAATTGTTTGTTTATTCATTATTTTTTTTTTTTAAAGAAATTTTTTTTAGATAGTTTCTTACCTACATTTTATTATTGAATGATCTTTTGAGGCGGTGTAAAAGTATTGGCCTGACTCAGGGACTGCTAAACAAGTAACTGATAAATCATGACGACCGGATTTGATTTTGGCTGTTGAATGCAATGCAACTGACGAGAAATCAAATTTATCAGCCACAAGATGATGTAATCGGCCCGCTCTATCCAACGCATCATCTCTTAATCGTGCGGCAATCAAATCTCGATCAATCTCTTTTGCATCAAATCCCATTATTTGATCATCTTCATCATTATTTATTATTTCTTCTTTAAGAGTATCTAAATATCTTTTAGCTAGACGTCTTCTTTTCTCTGCAATGTCTCTAATCTTATCTTCTTCGGCTTCGCTATCACTTCCATTACCAACGTCAAGGTTGTTGCTGATTGTTGTTGTTGTATCAATATCAATATCATCCTCTTCTTCTTCTTCTTCTTCTGAGGTTATTTCAAGGTCCATATCATCAATTCCACCAGTTCCAATTTCGTCGTCATCGTCATTACTACTACCATCATTGCTAACGATATTACCTTTACCTTTATTTTTCTTATTAAATTTAATGTTATTAGTTTTGTTATTTTTGCTGGTTTTACGTTTTTTATTCGTTGTTGAAACAAAAAATGGATCAAAAGACATCTTTTTTGAAGGAAATAAAAAAATTTTTTTTTAATCCGATTATTTTATTTATGTTAATGATTTACAACATACATTTCGATCTAAACTACACGTGATTATTATAGTAATTAATAATTACTAATGCCTTGCCATTTTCATAACAACAATAATAACAAAATTAATTAATTAGCTGAGGAGAGAAAATAATAATAATAATAGTAGTAGTAGTAATAACAATAATAGTAGTAACAATAATAATAGTGGTAAGAATAATAATGAAATTCCTTTCAATTCTTACTTTTTTCCTTCTTCAAGATTTCTAAATTATTAAAATGTAAAAATCATTTATAACCAATGATATATGTATCTTTTTCACATCATTATTATAAGTGGTTGTAACAAGTCACGGTGTTGTGTTACCCCTGAAATCTTACATTTTAACAAAAGTGACCAGACCTACCATGAGGTCATATTAATGTTACAATTACGGCATAATAAATAAATAAAATAAATTAATTAAATATTGAACTATTTAATTAAGCTATTTCTCTTCCTTTATTTTTTTTTTTTAAAAATAGAAAATAGGATTATTTATTGAGGGAAATAATAATAATAATTATTATATTAATATTATTTTATTTCATTAATATTAATTTATTAATATTTCTTCATTTTTTCATCTTTTCACTTTCCTTTTTTTTTTTTCTTTTGAAAATAAAATATTTTTTAGAAAATATTTTCATAATTACTTACTACCTTTACTTCCAATATCCTTTCAACATCCATCACCCTAAAACCTCCCTTTTTGACGAATTCATCACTTGAACCAATCAACTGTTTGACAAATAATCTCTCGGGAAAAGAGTCCATAAAGTTCTTTTTTTTTTTTTTTTGATAAAAAAATTATCAAGAAATGGGTAAAAAAGCAAAACCAGATCTTCCACTTCACAAAGTTATTATGGTTGGTTCGGGTGGGGTAGGAAAATCAGCCTTGACTTTAAGATATATGTATGGTGATTTTGTTGAAGAATATGATCCAACAAAAGCAGATTCTTATCGTAAGAAAGTCACCTTGGATGGACAAGAATGTCAAATTGATATATTAGACACAGCAGGACAAGAAGAGTATGCCGCTGTATCCTTTTAAAATCGAAACATTTAAAATGTATATAATGAATTATAGTATGCATTAAAGATTATTGTCCTTAACATTATTTCTAATGATGATGATGATAATAATAATCATCAATATTTTCAATAAAGATACGTGATAATTATTATCGTTCAGGTGAAGGATTTCTTTGTGTATTTTCTATTTGTGAATATGAATCATTTGTACATACCCAAGATTTTCGAGATCAAATTTCTCGTGTACTTGATGATGAAACTGTAGGTTTATTTAATATGAAATCAATTGACGAATAGAATTTTAGAATATTAGAAAGTTTTGTTCTAAAAAACATTTAATATTTTTTTTTTTTTAAAAAAAAAAAACCCCCCGAAATCTCAAATTTTAAACTAATTTTTCTTCTCTCCCAACCAACCAACCAACCAATCAACCATTTATTATTCAAAAGGTCCCTTTCATTCTAATTGGTAATAAAGAAGATTTAGATCAAATACGTAAGGTGTCTAAAGAAGAAGCCATAGCCAAAGCAAATGAATGGGGCTGTGCATATTATGAGACATCAGCGAAAACAAGATTAAATGTTGAAGAGGTTTATAATGAATTAATGAGAAAAATAAAAGCGAGAAAAGATGCACAGAAAGAGAGAGAGCGGAATGACAAAAGGAGTAAATGTGTGTGTTTATAGTGCGATTCATATGGGACGATAATTATTATTATACGGACTTGAATTATTTAGTATAATATATATAATATGTTAATATAGCAATGATAGTAATTTTATTAAATTTTATTTAAAATATATATATATATATAATATATATAATTAATGATAGTGTTGTGCGTGCGTATCAATTTAAAATCCACGCGCGTGAAATTCAAAATCAGCCAATCAGAATTTGTATCCAAACACTCCAACACAACTGGAAATAATAGTTCCAATGTACTTTCAATTCGTTAAAGAATTGAGATATAATCACCTTAATAATCAGTTTGAATGAAATTTCTTATATTCTATATATATATATATACATATATGTAATATATATATATATATTATATCTTTTTTTTCAGAGATTTTGAATATAATAGTTCCAATGTAATTTCAATTCTAACGAATTAATAATAATAATCAATTTGAATGAAATGAAATTTTCTTATATGTCCAGCCACACTTCATTGTAACAAGGTTTATACTGTAATGTAAAAAGAAACGAATCATATAATCAATTAAGATGATGCAAGCAAATCAATAGATAATAACAACAACATTTATTTATTTCCAAAAATATAGATGAATCATACTTTTAAACTTTTCAAATGATTTGTAATCTCCTCGTCTTCGTATTCCTCGTCTACCTCGTTGTGTTCTTTTTCAATAACTCTTGATTATATTAAAGCTAGAATGATGCTTTGCATTTCTCCAAAAATCTATCTGACATGTTTATAGTGTGTTTCCGGCATCAACTAGAGCTTGGGATAGTATACTTGATCAGTTGCTCTTCATATATTAATTTTGATTTTTGGTAATTTGCCATAAATTCATTCTGTCAGCCAATCACAAATAATATATTTATTTCTTCCCTTTAAAAAATATAGATGAACCATACCTTCTTAAAAAATTCGATTTAGAATAGCTCTTATCACCATTTTTTTTGGCATTGTTAACAAGATAAAAAACAAGCTGATGTGACAAATCAATCACACCGGCTTTATTAATTAATGTGTTATTATTATTTTTTAAGATTTATTATGTTACCAGGAAGATTGATTGATGAAGGAAATTTCAAGTGTATTTATATTTCTTGGCGTGTTACAGATAACATGACTTTTTACATGGTTTTGTCCAATAACATATACATTAGAATAGAAAGAATGAATGATTACTAATGCTACAGTGTGTGTTTCAAAAAAAAAAAGGCGCGCACAAAAAATCACACATCTCAACAATTATGCAAGATGGATAAACAAACTAGATTCATGTGAAAGCTTATCAAATACTTTATTGAATAAAAAAAATTAAATAAATAAGAAATTCAATCACCGATTTTTTTTTTTCACATCTCCGTTTCATATACATAATAAATCTTTTCGATTGTCATTCCTTGGCTTCCTTTTTCAACGTTATTTTTTATGATACACCACATATTTTCAATGGATTAAGGTCAGCAGGATTGTTGGATGGCCAGTACATTACACGAATTCTTTTTTCAGGATATAAGTTTTTGCAACGCGTGAATCATTTTAAAATAAATTTGCTCTTTGCTAAAAACGCGCCATTGATGATGATGTCATTATATAAAAGAAATTAATAATCGAGACCCAGGTTGGACCTCAATTCACTATCTTCGAACAGTAATAATATCTGATTTCTTCTTGGTTTTTATGATTAGCATGACCTTCTACATTACAAACACACTCTTTTTTTCTACACATGCTTCATATAAAACGATAGAAAGCTTAGTGATGGTGCCCAAAACTAACCCATAGTTTAGGCAATTAGGCAATTTCGGTTTTCGCTCACGAGCATTTTTTGGCGAAACTCCTAAACTATGAGCAACTATGGGTGAAGCTCCTAAACTGCGGGCGAAAACAAACGGATAATTAATTTAACAAAGGTGTTTTATTAGACAAAAAAAAAAAAGAATTAATTTGCTTTGTCATTAAATTTATATTAACTTTTCTGCTTTACTCTCAAGCAAAGCTCTGGTTTATTCTTTAATTACCCGATTGATTAATTTTAATTAATTTAAAATTCATTGATAAAAAAAACTCACTTGGCCAAAAAAAGTATGGTTAATAACTAGACTGCGTATATAAGAAATCAATATAAAAAAAACATAATAAAATAATTTAAATGTTAAAATTAAAATTAGATACTAAGTCACATGTCCGACATACGGATTAGACGGCACTTCGATAAATCCGTTTTATTTAGCTCATATGTTTGACAATTTAACCACAGTTTAGCCAATTTTAAAGTTTTGTCACTAGTTTAGGAGACTAAACCTGATTTTTATGGGCGAAACTATTCCGGATTTGCTAAATAATTTCGGCCACCTAAAAGTTTCAATTTGAATAATATGCTATGTTTACGGCCAAGAACAATGTCTCGTATGTTAATTCTATATAGTTCGAAATAACAAACTTTATAAGTTTTTATCTATTCTACATTATCAAAACAAATAAGTTTTCTTCCTGTTAGCCAACCACATAATGTAAAAAGAAATGTATCATATAATTAATTAAGATGATTGCCAGAAATATATATGAATCATATTTTAGCGTTTTTAAATAATTTATCATATTCGTCGTTGTCGAATTCTTTAATTGACTATTTTGAAAACACCATTTTATAAATTTGATTTAGAATAGCTCTCGTCACCATTTTTTAAAAAATTAACCTCTTTTCTTTCAGTAATTTCTATTTTAATTTTGTCCATTAATTATTGTTATTTAAATTTTTATGATTAGGCAAAATCTTAATATTCATTCCAATCCACAAACACCAACCCATTAAGCATTATACGAGCAAGTTATAATGAACCGTACAATATGAGCTACTTGATCTGTAGTCTTTTATATCCGATACCAAGTCCAGATATACTTTACACTGTCAAATATTCAAACTAAACTATATACAGCGATACTACTTGAGGTACATCTAATCAATAAATAAAGGATTTAGGATCAATTACACTGACTTTATTAATTAATTCAGTCAAGACTATTTTATTACAAGGAGATTATTAACATTATTAATTAATTACTCTTTAACTCGAGCAATTTCATTTCTAAGTGTTGAAATATTTCTTGGAGTATTACAGATAACATGACTTTTTACATGGTTTCGTCCAATAAAATATAAAATAAAATAGAACGATTACGTTACTATTGATCCGATAAATTTATTGCTAAAGATAACGTCTTTGGTATCAATCCGAGCTTTTGATGGACCTTGATTAGTTTTTTTT